AAAAATATTGCCATGTTTATTTCCATATATGAACACTTATTTACTTTCTCAATAAAATACCATTTTTCTTGATACTGTTGTAAGGGAAGATTTGTTTTCCAAAGCTATTTCACTTCACTTAGTGAGTATGCTTCTAAGATTTTTATGTCTAAGCTCTGAATAGCATAAACATAATCTTAATGAATCAAGATCAACTACTCATACAATTGTAGCACTGTACTATAGTACAATATTAAGCAAATAATATGATGTCCTTGAACACTATTAAAATAAAAGATGGTTTGTCCCTATATTTACTGATCTTATTCTGTTGTGTCTGGCTTTGCTCAGTATAGTTACAGCTCCTCCTTTAGGGTAGGCTATGCATTTTTTTCTGCTTTCATTACTTCAGCCTCTCTCCATCCCCTTCTACTAACTTGCTTCTTCTAACATGTCATGTGAACCAAGAAATCAGAAAAATAAGTTTATTAGTCCTTATAGCCCTATGTACTTAGCAAAGTACAAAAGCTTTAATTCACATTTTCTTGTCTGTTCAGTGGTCTTCGTCTTTTCTTTCCAATGCCCAGTGATATTTGAAGAGGGGGGGAGCCCTATAATTTACATATGTAGCACAAACCCTCAGAAATTTGTTTATTTAGAAGACTTGACTTTTCTTTGAATAGTAGTTCTCTTTAAAGATTATCTTTGAGCCAGGCACAGTGGTACATTCGCATGATACCAGCCTGTAATCCCAGCTACTTGGAAGGCTGAAGCAGGATGATCAAACATTAAAGGCCAACTTCAGCAACGTGGCGAGACTGTCTCAAAATAAACTAAAAAAGGCTGGGGACATAGCTCAGTGGTGGAGCATGTGCCTAGAGTGTGTGAGGCCCTGGGTTCAATCTCCAGTATAGAGGGGGGGGGGGGGGGGGGGGAAGATGACCTTTATCTTTGGCTACAAACACAAAGTTATTAAAGGATTACTTACAAAGTGATCTAAATATTCTATTTAAAATAATTTTCTCAGAGAAATACATGTTAAGAAATCCAGAAAAATGTACAAAGTAATAAGTAAACCACAAACCTCTCTACTCTGGCTATTCTTTACAATCTGATACATAATGGAGAAAATATGCTAACAGTATTGAATCATGCAGAAAATAAGTTTACTAGCCCGAAACAAAAGTTTAATAGCCCCCCCCCCAAAAAAAACTTTAATTAGAAAGAGACCAGCAGAGTAGGAGAAGGGAATCAAGGAGCTAAGGGACAGACAGTAGGGCAGAAGAAGGGAATCAGAGAGAGTGAGGAGGAAAGGGAAGATACTGGGGATTTAAATATAGGAAATCATGTTATGAACATGTACAAAATTTTCACAATGAGTTCCACTATTATGCATAATGATAATGTACCAATAAAAATTTTAAAAGAAAAAATCATTTATTAAAGTACAAGCTAGAAAACAGAGGACATTTTGCTAGCATATATAATTGTACTTTTTTTGTTCTTAAAATATCAGTCATAAATTAGATATGATTTATAATTACAAAAGAGAAATTAAGTATAAAACAAGAGGTCAACAGAAAATCTCTTAGTCTGAATTTAAAACTTTTTTCCTAAGTAACTGCAGAAGATTATTCATAACATCTGATTTTAACCAAATTACTAAAACAAACACTTCTTTCATAACTAAATATCGAAAGATAAGTTATACGACACATTGTTACTAAAATAAGGTAAAATCCATAAGACTAGATTAGATGTCAACTAAAAATAATTTTTTCTGCTAGTATTATATAAAGAATTAGAAATTCAGATAAAAATATTATCTGATTTTTTTAATATTTTACTTTAATTATTGTCAAATTTCACACAATGGCATAATTAAAACATTTCTAATTTATTTCTACATGTTATTATTTTTCTCTATTTATACCACAGAATTAATACGATAGGATATGTGTGTTTAGTAAAACAAGCCTGTTTAATAACAATAACAGCAGCAACATTTTCTATGTACCAGACTGCCTAAGCATCTTAGTGCACGAATGCCCTTAATATTCACAATTACCCTATGAAATAAGTACACTCATCATTTCATTTTAAGAGGAAGAAGCTGAGGGTTAAAGAAGGTAAATAGCTTTGCATGATTCACAACATTGGAACTCCTATACTAACAAAGGCACATAATTCCATGTCACTAAACTAGATTAACTCCTATTTTAGATATTTTATTTTAATACTTTATGAAGCATTTCCTAATGCTATCCCTTCACAACCAACACCACCCAGTTTAAAAATAAAACAAAAATAATCGGAGAACTCACCAATACCTCAAATTTGCTGAAATAAAATCTATTTGCGGTTTTATGTCTAAGAGTTAAGCAGTAACATATTTTGTTGACATGCTTCAGAAGTACAGTATGCAAGAAAAAACTAGACAGCCCAAAAACATTTCTCCTAAATTGCCAGACAAGACTTGTAACAAATAATGTTTATGTAAACAAGTATCTTTAACATGTGTTTGAGATTCTATATAATTTTTTTGTTTTGTTCTTTTTAGTTATACATGACAGTAGAGAAGATTCTATATAATTTTTAAATAATGAGAATAAAAACAAATCCCCTCCCACTACTTCCAAGCTTCCAAGAAGCGCAAGTAAACAAACCTCCCAAAAAACCCATATATATAGTTGCAATGAAAACCAACTGAACATAAAACCCCAACACATTTTTTTTTTTAGAAATTTTTTTTTTTCAAAGAGAGAGAGAGAGAATTTTTTATTTATTGTTTTTTTAGTTTTCGGCGGACACAACATCTTTGTTTGTATGTGGTGCTGAGGATCGAACCCGGGCCGCACGCATGCCAGGCCAGCGCATTACAGCTTGAGCCACATCTCCAGCCCACCCCAACACATTTAAGTAATTTTGTTTTGCTTACACAATGAAGCTCAAAAATAGTCCCTGAATGTCTTCCTCTGGCAAAAAAAAAAAAAAGATTTTCAGTAGTTCACATACTATTACATTTCTTCTACCAAAGTAGGAATAAAAACTTTTAGTTCATTTTTTGCTTCTTATTAACATTTAATGAGATCTTTAAAAAAGAACATAAACAAACAATCAGAAGCTGGAATCTGAAAAATAAGGGCTTATATGAGTCAAAGAACTATATTAAGAAGTAACACGTTCCATGTAACTATTCCTAAAAAACAGAACAACCCACATTACTTATGAAAAGGAAATGACAGTTTAAATATGAAGGCATAGATTTACTATAGGTCTTGCACTTATTTTCAGTATTTACATTTCAACGATACCTAGAATAATAATATTTTGCATTATAGCATGTTTAAATTTTATTTTGATAGCAACTATAAGAATTAAGCAGGTTTACTCATATTTTTTGATAACAACTTAAGCTACATTTTATAATCTAAATCTTACACAATGACTCCAGGAAACTTAATTACTATATTGTCACCAAATGGTTAAAAACATTTCAGACACAATTCATTTCCCAAATTTAGGTTTAATAGACTACTTTCTTCCTGAGGCACTACAGATCATTTCTTTACAATCCATGAGAAATTAATCTTTGTTAGAAACTTTACTGAAGCAGGAGGGGGGAGGGAAGAGAGAGAATGAGGGAGATGGGGGAGGGGGAGAGAGGAGAGAAGGGGAGAGAGAGAAAGGGAGAGGGGAGAGAGAGAAAGGGAGGAAGGGAGAAAGCACAGGGAGGAGGAAAGGAGGAGAGAGGGAGAGAGGGAGAAAGAAATATGTTTACCACAATGTGGACTTGTAAAATGCTCTGGATGAAATTAAAATTCTTTTAAATAAAAAGCACAGTCACATGTTTGGGAATATCTGTACCAACAAAAAATCCAGCTTAATTTTTTTTGCAGGGGCGGGTACCAGGGACTGAACCCAGGAGAACTTAACCAATGAGTCACATTCCCAGCCCTTTTTATGTATTCTTTTGAGCCAGGGTCTCATTAAGTTGCTTAGGATCTTGCTTAATTGCTGAGATTGGCTTTGAACTCACAATCATCTTGCCTCAGCCTCCCAAACTGCTGGGATTACAGGTGTGTGCTACAAGTCCAACTCAGTTTAACTTTCAACAGAGACTAAACACTATTACACCAATAAACTAAAATCTAAAACTAAGGATAAAGCAAAATAAAGAGAATAGTGTAGAATCTTAAAAAGCTAAGATGCTAATAACATAAAATCTTCTGTTTCTATTTTAAAAAGCAGATTTCTAATAATGAGAACATATTAAACTATTCTGCTTAGGATTAAATAGAAACAACTATTTAAAACAACTAAAATAATGAGGCCAACACACACTGACAGAATACAAAAATCACCTATCCAACTTTGTACAATTCTCTATAAACCTGAAATAAATGAGTTATTATTTTAACCAAAACACCATCACTGTCTTGGAGGCATCATACATCCATTAATGAATACACAATGGCACTATAACCTAAAAATTGAATGTTAGTAAAGAAAAAGTTATAGTTAAGTTATAGGTAACTTGAATTAAGCATGAAATAAAATCAAACAGACAAAAGAGAGCCACAATTTTTAAAATATATAACTGAAACTAATGTAATATTTGGAGAAATCTCATATGATACGCAGAGTGATCTAATTCTGGAAGTTCAGTGGCATGCACTACATAAGAGATGACAAGTGGTTTCCTGTGCCAATGTGATTATTGCTATTGCTTTACATGGAAAGGGGTGTAATTTTTGTTATTCCTGGCAAAATATTAACAGATGGCAACTAGCTTAGAAAAGTGGAGGCCATTAAGAACAAATTGACAAACCCAACATGTTTTTTGGTATACATTCCAAAACCTTTAAGACAATTATCTCCTTCTTCATTTAAAAAAGCTTGTTTTACCGCACAGTGGAAGGGGAATATTAACAGAAAGCACATTTTAATTAAGCATTACTCTCATCAATAGCACCAAATTTGCATGATTCTTGGGATGTCTCTTCTTGTACTTTACTTACCTCCACTGACTGCATCTTGCTCGTCCCCTTCAGGAAATGCAACCTGGCTTGGCAAACTATTCCTAGATCGAGTGACTGTTTCTAACTGGGAAGCCCGTCCCAATAAAGACAGCTCATCCAGCACCTCTCCCTCTTTGGCCTCAAGATCTGATTTTGAAGTGGTTAAGGGCTTTATACTTTCAGGTGCCATTAGCCTATTTGAGTCATTCAAACATGCTACTGTGCCACTGTCCAAGCTCAACACTCGGGCACGAGTCTTGGCACTATTTGTGCTGGAAGTCCGTCGTGTAGCCCTCTTTTTGCCAGTTCCTTCAGGACCAGGATGAGCTCTATGTGAGTGTTCAGAGTCTGTACCCCTTTCCTTATGAATGTGTTTGGTCTTTAGAGCGCTATATCTGCCCTCAGGAGATTGGCACGAATGAGAAGTAGTGCTAGAAGAGCTGTCACTGCTGAACTGATGAGCAGAATGGACACTTGATGCTCTACTCAAGTCACTTTGATCACTAGAATCCTCATCATGACAAAATATAGCACTATGTGGTTTGGTTCCAGAAACACCTCGAAAAGAAACATAGTCCCTGTGTCGACTAGAGTCAAAACTGCTGGCTCGTTTCTTTCCTGTCCTTCTCCTGCCTGACTTGTGGGCAGAGGCTGTCCGGTGGATTAAGCTAGAGGATTTGGGTCGTACATCCCCTTCCTTCTGCTTTCCACCAGTATCTTTACAAACTTTTAAATCCACCAAAGTGACAGGCGTCTCATTCTGCTCTTCTTTATTTTCAGCAGGTTTCTCAGGGGTTGGGTCCTCTGGTGCAATAAGCTCATTTGCATGGGGGTTTTTATTGGCTTCTTCAGATGCAGAGGTGCTGAGCCCTCTCTGGTTGTGCATCTCATCAGAGGCCTGAGAATCCTGGGCCTCAGGAGCCCCACTATTTGTACTCACTTCCAGGGCAGTCTTGTCACTGTTAGTCCTTTTGTCACTGGCACAGCAACTCTTCTCTGAGTCAGCACAGCACTCTTTTTTCTTAGCACTTTTCTTTCCCACTTTAGGAGACTCTTCATGCTCTGACAAGATGCTTTCTATGTGAGTGGAACTAGTCTGCTCACTTTTATAGCTGCTGACAGTACTGTTGGTATCACGGTCTGTGCCGCTACAATAGCTCTCTGTTGACCCGCTACTCCGTGTGCTCAGGCTCCTCAGGCTGTCCATGCTTTTGTCTGCATTTAGAACTTTGCTCTTCCCACTTTTTGTGGGTGGCTGAGAATTACTGTTTTTCAGATCACCAGCAAGCTGGAATTCCCCAGGTAGACAAGTATTTTCCACCAAGGATTCTTTGGATCCAGAATGAGGTTTTGAAGATTCTAACTCACTTACTGGATCTAACCCACGTCTTTGCTGATAAAGAGGGAAGTCATTCAGTGAAGTATCAGGAAAGGCCACAGCAGAGCTGGAAGTCCGTGGTACACCTCGCGGCCGGTGATCTTTCCTGTAAGAATGTGAATGTAAAGGTACAAGAGAGGCTACTTCTGTGTCACACGCGCTGGACAGAGACTGATCGATGTGGTGGTGGTGGCTATGACTTGGCAGACTCACTTTGTCACTGAAGTCCCTTGGCAAGTCCTGTCCACAAGAGGACAAAGAAGGCTGAATGGAGATGAAGGAATCATTGGAGACCAGACGGAAGAGCTTCCTATCAGTTGCCAAATCTGTTTCAAACACATATTTGGAAATGTTAACACAGATGTATGTATGCTTATGCATTGTTTAACAATGGAAAGAATTCAAGCCATACAAAAAATCAAGTATAAACAATTTCTCAAGCAGTTCAGTGAATAACAGTTGACCAGTCATTCAAAAGAGCTGATTTCTACTTCATAGCTACACAAAGAAAGCTTTCTACTAATGGAATGAACTGAACTTTCAAATCCAAGTTCTCCAACCAGCCTCAGAAAAGGTTCTGTAGACTATCAATAATAAAATAATAAGCAAAAAAAGAATTTTATTTATAATAGACCTGGATTTCTATGCAAGCTCTAACTTATCAATGAGGTGACCTGGGGTTACTTTTTTGAGCATGCTTCTTCATCTATAAAATATGATGTCAACCTCACTGAGTACTAGTAAGCAAGGAATACTGAGTTCTTCAAATATACTTGGCTTGCCATAGTGCTGTTACAATTAATGGTAGCTACCATTATTTTACCTAACACAATACTAAAATCCTTCTGAAAAACTTATATTATTATTTTACAAATCAACAAAAACCTAGAATATTCGGGAACAGAAAATTACAGGGCTTACCAATCCTTACCAATAATTTTGACATAATGATGCAAGGTATCATACTATTCACAATGATTTTTAAAAAAAAAACAGTAATTATAGGACAAGATATTGCACTTCCTCTTTCATCATTCATACAGCAACCCAAAATGCTTTGTGGAAAGAAAAAAAAAACACATATTCTCCTATATATATGTAAGTCCATTCTTTTAATCCATCATTTAGGGTAGTGATGAGTGATTTGAATTACCATGTATACTATGAAAATAAAATATGAGTAAACCTACCTACATTGTAACTTATCTTGGACTATAGCTTGACAACTGATCTGCACAAACGCTGATCTTTTTACTATATATTTTGACAGACAAGGTGCTTGAATCTGTTTTTAGTTCAATAAAAAGAAGCATTATCTTATTTGTCATAACTGCATAGACAAGAGCAATAATAAATTCTATAGTGAGTCAGATTCTTCTCAGTAGAATCTCAATGTTAAAAGGAGACATTTCTCCCTAGGACTAAAATAAAATGAATTACTAGAAAAGTTTCTGTACCTTTAAAACATCTAAATCTAAATCTGATCTAAATAATTAAAAACTTAAATAGCCTCTAGAATGTACCACATAAATTGTAATTTATAAATGCCCTATTATGCTTTGTTTCAAGATAAGTAAAACCCAAGTTCTTTATCATTTGCCCAAAAGAGTTGTCACTATTCCTCTCTAACTTTCAAAATTTTAAAAAGTTAGCATCTTATTTATTTTGTAATATTAAATTACAATATGTTGGGGGCTGTAGCTCAGTGGTAGAGTGCTTGCCTAGCACATGTGAAATACTGGGTTTGATTCCCAGCACCACATTTAAAAAACACAAAAACAAAATAAAGGTATTGTGTCCACCTACAACTAAAAATATTTTTTAAAAAATTATAATATGTTATTATGGGGGGACTCTAGATATTTATCTCTTATAAATAATTATCAAGGATATAAATCTTATAGAACAAAAACTTATCCACTAACTCCCTTCTAAGACATTAATGAAGTAGAAATTTCAATTTTTTCACATAACAGCCAAACTTTAATAGACGTATTTTTTTTTTCAATAGGGCTAAACAAATGAAAGGTTTAATTCTGTCCAGAGGAATTTAAGTTGTTAAAAGTGATTCTAGGGGCTGGGGTTGTGGCTTAGTGGTTGAGCACTTATCTAGTGCGTGTGAAGCCCTGGGTTCGATCCTCAGCACCACATACAAATAAATAAATGAAAGTATTATGTCCAACTACAACTAAAAAATCAATATTAAAAAAAGTGATTCTATCACAGTTAGCCATAAAAAAGGAATACATACAACAACACAGTAAATGAAAGAAGCCAGACACAAAAAGCCATGCATTATATAATTCCATTCATATGAAATGTTCAGAACAGGAAAATACATAGAGACAGAAAGACAACTGTTAACTATTAGAGGCTGGCTGAATAAGGAAATGGACAGTACAATGGGTGCAGGCTTCTTTTTATGGTAATGAAATGTTCAGGAACTAAGATAGTGGTAATGGTGCACAACCTTGCAAATATACTAAAAACCAGTAAACTGGACATTATAGAAGGATAGATTTTAATGTCATGTAAGTTATGTCACAATAAAAAAAGAAAAAAAAGTTAGTTACATACCAAAAATATTAACCAAAGTTTCTCAGTGGCAGATATGTGAATTATTTTCTTTATATGTAACTATATTTTCTAACATAAATCATATTTTCCTCCCCTCTTCTAGATCATTCCCCAACAAATACAATATTATTTCTCTTACAAAATCTAAATCCTTCCTTTATCCCCACTTCCTCTGTAACTATCAATTTATTTATTTTTTTTAAAGGCAATTATTTATTTATTTATTTATTTATTTATTTAATATTTATTGTTTAGTTTTCGGCAAACACAACATCTTTGTATGTGGTGCTGAGGATCGAACCCGGGCCGCATGCATGCCAGGCGAGCACGCTACCACTTAAGCCACATCCCCAGCCCCTGTAACTATCGATTTAGGTCTTTGCTCCCCCTTATAGAAATTCATTAAGAGTATTTTAGTCACTTTCTTTGATTCTTCTCCTGATTCTAAAATTGATTAATCCCACTTCATTAAAACTATGCCTTTCAAGGTTAGCAATACCCTGTACAATGTTAAATTCAATGGACAAGTCTCAGTTCTCATGTCCCTTGACCTATCAGCAACATTTAATAAAACAGATAAATCCATTCTTGAAATGCTGAGACATAAGTCTCAGTTTTACTTCTATTTCATTAGTTGTTCCTTCTGTGTCTCCTGGACTTCTTAAAGTGAACAACTCAGGACTCAGTCCTTAAAATTTTTAATTTGTCTGCCTATACTCCTCCTTGTGTAGATCTCATACGGTTTTACGGCCCCACAATAAACATTCAGAAATTCCTGTAACTAGTTCCTCTATCTTCTACTCAACCTCTCTACAAATATTGGATGGCCTAAAGATCTGATCTTAGATAGGGAAGATATGGGTAAGGCTAGATGGGGATACTAAATAAGTCCTTAGAAGTGAAGAAAAAGAGGATACACCCCCACATAATTAGATTTCTCCTGATAATCCTGAATTATGTTGACAAAAAGTGTGCCAATTAATCAATTAATTGTTAATCAACTAAAAGTTACTCTCTTATAAATCCAAGCCAGCCACCAAGACAACCAGGAGTACAAACAATAATTAATCCAGAACAAAAATTGCCACAAGGTGGTGCCAAACCACAGTCAGGACCAAGAAGGAATTGGATCACGAGGCCAATCCATGTAAACTCAAAACTAGCTAACCCATGATCTATGCCCTGGACTACTGCAATAATCTGGTTAACTGAGTTCTCTGCTTCAGCTTTTTCCCCTTTCAATATATTCTCATATTCTCAACATAGAAGCCACAGTAATTCTGTTAAAATGTAACATAATCCTTTAGTAGTTTCTCATATCAGAATTAAAACTAACATCTTTAAAATGGCTTCCAAGACACTACACAATTTGGCCCTTCACTTATTTTGCACCAGCCACATTATTTCTCAGACTTGACAGGCTGTTCCTACTTTACACCTTTTGCACTTGTTATTCCCTCTACGTAAAAGGACCCCTAATCTCCTAGATACCCTGGAAGAACACTCCTTCTTCAGGTCTTTGCTCTAGTGAGTCTTCCCTCAAACACTCTATTAAAATTGTAACTTCTCAAGCCCCCACAACTCCTCATCCTCTCTGCCTACTACATACGTACTGACTTATACATATGACTACATGTTAATAGTATGGAAGCCACACAAGGGTAGAAATTTTTGTCTGTTCACTGGTTTATTTCCAGTACTTGAAACAGTACCAGGAAAATCATGAGTACTCAGTGATATTTGTTAAATGGAAAAATGTTACATGATAAAAGTTATAAAATTAAATCAAAGTAGTATCATGCAATGGTTAAGAGTAATTCGAAACTAGATTTCATTTATAGGAGTGCCACTTTGTAGCTTTGTGACTCTGGACAAGTTTCCTTTAACTTCTAAGCCATAATGTGCTTACCTGTAAAGTGATAACAACAGTAGTAACAACTTCAAATGCACATAGTGAATATTAACTGGGTAAATACATGTCAAGTGCTTAGAAGATGACCTAAACCCTGAGTTGACAAACTAAGGACCATGGAACCAAATCTGGCCACATTTGTAAAGGAAGTCTGAGTGTAGCACAGCCATGCCCTTCATTTATGTATTATTTATGGCTCCTTTCACTCTACCATGGCAAAACTGAGGTCACTGGGTAGCAAGAGAAACCACATGACCTACAAAGCTATCTGGCTCTTTCAGAGTAAGTTTGGTGATGCCTAACCTGAACAAAAGTATGCACTCAATGAATGTTGGATATCATTATCTATATTCACGTGTAGCTAGTTACAAGGATAGACTGCAACCTCAACTAGCCAGACTATAAAAATCTTGCTTGTATATGGGTACTTTCCAGATATAAAATAAGATAATGAAATATGACTCCTAAAAGCAGTGGTACCAACCTTCTAAGATTATCATCTAGTGTTAAGATCTTCTTCCAAAGGCTATATGTTATAAAAAGGAATACTACAACTCTTAAAGCAACTAATTCATCTTTAACTAAAAAAACAAAACAAAGAAAACTAAAAGAAAAAAAAGGTTTCCATACCATACAGTATATTTAGAGGTCTTTATTGTAATTCCAAAAAAGCTGGGTGACAGTAATAAACTTCCAAGTACCAATAACAAAGTACACTTTTGAGAAATGGACTTAAATAAGATATCAAATTAATGGACAAATGTCATAATTCAGTGATCTATGTGCAACCTCATAAGCAAGCTTCATGATTAAAAATAAAAAAATCTTTCAGCCTATCTACCCATCCAATATCATCACCACAATTAAAATAATAATAATAGGTTATAACAGGATAGAAACAGGAAGACAGGTTTCTCATTCAATTCTGGTTCTTTGTCTCCATATAACCTTGGACAATCTCCACTTAAAAATGGAGATGATTTATCTGTCCTTTCATATTTGAAAATTAAAACTCAAACATGAAAATGTCTTAGTCAAAAACAAACTCTATAAAGTCCACAATATTTATTTACAATTGAATTGAGTAAGAAAGGAAAAAAAAAACACATATAATCAAACTTTCTATTCACAATCTGCTATAGAAAAGTACTATGTTGGAGACAAAGTTTCTCAGAAAATTCAATCGCAATTTATTTCTCTTTATAAGACATTATAGTTTCTGCAGTCAGGTAAGAGATGAAGCAGCTGGTATTTAGAAATATAAAATGATAGCTTTACATACTGTTATTACTTAGTTGGGCTCAGTGCTCTAACCAACTTAAGAACAGTATAGGATTCTTAACTTCCCATCTCATCTGGGACACACATTTATAAAATTTCTCTTACCATATTTATTTTTTAAAACATGTATGCTTGAATTCAGTAAGGGAAAAGTACTTGTAATGCTGTATTATTATTATTATCCCAATAAATCATATTATTTAATGTTTCCTAAAAATAACCACATTTCATTTTTACAAACTTATAAAATGTAAATGATGCATTCCACAAATTCACCCTGGTCACCACAACATGTGTCACTGTGCAGCATAATGTTCTTACCTTGTTCTTCACTTCCTTCCTTACAAAGACTAGAGCTCTGGCCCAGACTTAAACTGATATCATCAGATGTCTTAGCAGTGTCTGTGTCTCCTAAAAGTTAAGAAAAACACATGAGGACACTGTATTAAAGTAAAGGCTTAGTGTGTCAAAACCAAGAAACAATATCAGGAGTGTGGTAGACATCTATCAACTAAAGCAGTTTCTACACATCATGGATTACAATAATGGAAGATGCACTGAAATATTATGGATTATCAGAGCACATAATTACTCTGAGAACAAAATAACATGGAAAGCTTCATAATATTAGCTAGTAAAACTATTTCTTTAAATAATAGATTTTAGCTGGGTGTGGTGGCACATGCCTGTAATCCCACAGGCTCAGGAGGCTGAGGCAGGAGGATCAAAAGTTCAAAGCCAGCCTCAGCAACTTAAGGAGGCCCTCAGCAATTTGGCAAGACACTGTCTCTAAATAAAAATACAAAGAAGGGCTGGGGATGTGGCTCAGTGGTTGAGTGCCCCTGGGTTCAATCCCTGGTACCTATATGTAGGAACAAATTATGTTACAACAATTTAAAATATAATAAATTTCCTTCCTTAGGAAAATAAGTAAACTAAATCATTGTAGGGCAAAAATAATATGAATGTATCTTAAATAGATGTGTAGAATATTTATTCTCATATTTAAATTTTTCACATCAAATTAGTTTTCCATGAACCTCACCTAAACATGTATTTTCTTTCACCAAGGAAGTTTCTTACATATCAATAACTTATAATTTGTGCAATATAATTCAAATGGTCACTATGTTGAAATTTGGATGATGAAAAGATAACAATTTAAATCAAGCAATCTATTATGAGATAAATGACTTTAGCTCTAAGGTCAAAAATGACATTTGAATGTTTAGAACTATTATCTTTATTACAAACAAAAAAGTCAGAGGCAATGTTCAAGTTAGATCATGTCTACCTTTAATAGTTGCTGCTGTTCCAAGACGAGAGGAACCAGATCCAATCTGAAAACACAATATAAGGTAAATAAAACTAAATAATATGCTAGTAGCATGTCCTTATCAATACAAACTAGCAAGATTATCAAACAAAATTATATCATCTAAACATGCTGTCACTTTTTATTAATATTAAAACACTAGACATGTTCTATCATAGCCACACAACCTGTTTTCTGCGGTATACACTGTGGTATCTTACAGGTGTGCCAAGATTCTGAATCCCTCTGCATGCTCAGGGCTGATGAAATTCCCAAGGCCAAATGCCTCCAATATCAAGCAGTTTGTATCATACAGTTATTATCATTTTTTTATGTTGTATCATGACATGCTAGTGTTATAATAAACAAAAGCAAAACCAGGCACTGAGTCTACATGGAATAAATTCAGACTTCCTAGGGTACATAAAGGGACGGTTTGGAGGGACAAAACCCATTAACATATGCTACAAAGAGCAACATAAATCTTACTGCCCAATTGTTAGTGTATTGATATATAATTTCCTTAGTTCCAGAAAAGAAGTAAGTATGGTTAGAACATTTAAAAAGAATAAAAATCTAAAGCATGCATCTACAATAAGTGAATTTTTAGCACAACTATAATTAGAAATTTGAAATGTGATTGCTGAGCTTTCAGAGTGCTTATTTTCAAATGGTGTAATATTTCTCTAAAATTTCACAGCCATTATTTATTATACTACCATAAAAATCATATAAACAAATACCACAAATTGTACAAACATAGTGAGGAAACCAAATACAACAACATCAACAAGTCTTAGCAACTCTTTTTTTCAACTTTAAAAAAAAAAAAAAAAACTTTTTTAAAGGGATTCAAAGAAGAAAACTGTTAAGTAAATTTAGCATTGTAAAATAAAATTCAAAACATCACACAGGGCTGGGGTTGTGGCTCGGTGGGGTGCAAGTGTGAGGTAGTGGGTTCAATCCTCAGCACCACATAAAACTATAACTCTTTAGATCAAAACATAGGTTAATACTGTTTTTGAAGAGGCAGGATTTTCTTGATCTGGATGGCCACTGAACAGGTGTATACAGATGTAAAACCACATTGAGCTGTACGCTCAAGATGTATACTATGCTGTAGAAGCTACACCAGTGAAAAAGTAAATAAAAATAGGCATATAGAGGGTCTGGGACTGTGGCTCAGTAGCAGAACACTTGCCTTGTATGTATGAGGCACTGGGTTTAATCCTCAGCACTACATGAAAATAAATAAATAAAATGAAAGTATTTAAAAAATAGGCATATACAGATGAAAATACTAAAAAACTCTGGATATAGCCAATAAAAAATAAGTTTTGTAATACTTCTAAGCTGTTTTTTAAGCTCGACTCTCCTAGTATTTTAGAATTTCTACTTTCAATTAAACATAAAAGGTACTATAATTGGCCAGGGGGGAAAAAGTCTAAAAACTATTTGACTACAAAAGAAGTTTCATTCTTACCATACCAGCTAGACAAGTTACAGAAATAACATATATCATCTACTAGAATTATAAACACATAACTTCCTAGACAGAAATTCAAAAATAAATAATAATCAAGTACAGTGGCATAAGCCTATAATCCCAGTGGCTCGGGAGGCTGAGGCAGGAAGATAGCAAGTTCAAAGGCAGCTTCCACAACTTAGCAAGGCCCTAAGCAACTTAGTGAGACCCAGCCTAAACATAAAAAATAAAAAGAGCTAGGGATGTGACTCAGTGGGTTCAATCTCTGGTACCAAAAAAATAAAAAAGCAAACAAAAACTCAGCACACCCTTCTAGGAACTTAAATGTTAAAAACTTTTTTTTTTTTTTGGAGATAGGATCCCACTACATTGTCCTGGTTCTCCTTGAACTCACTATTCTCCTGTCCCCCGTAGCTAGAATTACACGTAACAGGCATGCGCCACTACACCTGACTCCTCAAGACCTTTTGGCATATGGGCTTTTGTCATTTGCTCACAACCTCAAAATATTCCCCTTTTCTTCCTTTAACACGCTCCCCATTTTAATCAGATGTCAGTCACGCATCTTTTCACCTATGAGCAGTGGGCCCAGTCCCTGTCTAGAGGGAGGTACATGAGCTAGTTCTGGTCAATGAATGAAACAGGGAGTCTGCTGGAGGGCTTCAGGAAGAGATTCTTATAAGTCTAAGAAGAGGACCAAGAATTCTTGAACAGCGTCTTGACTGAAGCTGTTATGCTCATCCTACAGCCCTGGGAAAAGGCCTAGGGAACTATGGAAATGCCAACCCAGAGGCTCAGCATTACTGAGATGCTGAACAAATGCCACAAATGTCAAACACCTCCAGATTTAGAAGATAACACAAACTCGTATTTCTCTACGATAGTATAAGTTGGGTATTCTATTATTTGCTGATACCATGGTAGTAATATTTTATTCTTCATGCTTTTCTGTATTATTTAAGCTACTCCCAAATAGCAAAGAATCATGACTAAAACAACAGGTGATCAAGAATATAAAATACTATATCTAAATGCAATTCATCCCTCAAAGGGTCACTTTGGAAAAACTCAATGGCATTAACATTCATGATACATTTGGTAAAGAGAAGTGAGTTCAAAATAACAAGCACATTAGAACTCCATTTTGTTGTAAAAGTTTTCTTATTATATACAATATCATGAATGATTTTTAGTTTTCTTGTTTATCCTCATTTGTTAAATTTTTTAAGAATGAAAAGAAAAATAGTAACTTACTATACTTGAGGGTGAAGTTCTTTATTCAAATGATTTTCATAAATTGAAATACTGTAGTGTTTCTTCCCTGTGGTAAGTGCCATAGGAAAGGTCCAGGAAGGATTATACATTTAAGACAAAAGGGTACTTACAACTAGAGAGTGTTTCAGGTAAGGCCACCTCCCCAGGAATCTTTGCCTTTCTCTCTACCTGAAATTAATAAATTTTCCTTGGAAGTAATCTCTTTTTCTGCACCATTCTGATGGCAATTATTACTCTGTAAAAGGACTTTGTACTTAATTCCTTGGCAGTATATATTACATTTATAACTTTAGTTATATCATAGGTCTCAATCTCTTTGGGGATTAAGACCTATTCCTCACACCAAATAAAATGCTTTGAATATTATCAGACAATATGTCATAATGGGAGTATCTCCACCAATATATAAAAAGCCTGACTACTTCACTCCAGCTTCTCTAAAGGGTAACAACAATTACATTCACCTTATTTTTCATTATAATACAACATGAAATCACTAAAACCCAAAAAGCATGATAGTCTTCAATATTTGCCCATTTTAATTTAAAAGTTACTATTTTAAGGAAAACCGAAGGCTGTGTGTTATGTGCAAATGTGCTTTAATTATATTCAGGAGGGGACTCCTTCCCTAAAGGAAGTACAAGTTCCAACAAAAATGAGGCCAAGGTCAGAGTATCCAAAGGTGGCTGGCCATTGCTGCGCCTTTTCACCTTCCCTACTGCAAAAATTAACAAAGGTATGACTCTCCAAAATACTGTTGGAAAAATGTAGAATAACTTCCTGCGATAATCTGACATTACTTTACTTTTCCAAGAAAGAAGAAAGGCTAGGGTTAATTAAGATTACAAAACATGTAGCCATCTTTAGAGATTAAGTCATTTCATTCTATAAAAAGCAACTGAGGAAAGCAAAAAGCCAACAAAAAATAGGATCAAGGATAGTAACACTATTCTTCAAAAAGGTATTATAAAACTTGAAACTTGTTATGGAAAGATAACATATATTCTATATTATACTCAATCACAACTAAAACTGTTACCAAAATTCATTCACTTGAATTTTAAATCATAAACACAGGCAAAACTTCTATCAAAATAGAAAATAAAGCTCTATTCAAGATTTTGACTCATAGAATATCATATTTTCATAATATTGTTCTCAGATAGTCTACTTATTTGTTAAATGAGGAGCCAAGTCCAATCCTACTTCTAAGGTTTTATTATCTATATACATATTTAATAATCATTAATTGAAAGTCAGCTGTGCACAGGCAATATACTAAACAGTGAAAAAAAAAGGAAAATATACTCAATCGAGGCTTATAAACTGCCATATACTATCATATGCCAAAAAACTAAGTGCTATAAGTAATAAGTGCTCCATCTACAAGACAATGGGCCAACACCACAGGTCTTTGAAAATCTTGAGCAATAGAATGTGGTTACAAGAAGAGTTAGAGTTAGGCCAGAAAAGAAGATCTAAATCTCCCTCCACAACAGTGTGTGAGAGGGAGGAAAGTGGTTTCAGTCATCAAATTGTATATGAAACAATAGGAATGCTGGAATGAGAATCAGGAATTGAGGGCTAGCCTAGACCCTAACAGAAATCAGCTGTTTCTTCTACATAATGAAAGGTCTGACACAATGACCTCTAAACCCCACAACTACAAAACGTTCTATTTCAAAAAGTTTCTCTCAAAGTTTACTTCACTCCAGGTAGTGAAGTCATCTGCAGAAAAGGCAAGCAGGAGTGACTGGGACTTGGCTTGAGCAGGAGATGTTTAGGACAAGAGAGAGAAGTGTATTAGCAAAATCAAGGTTAGACATAATGAGAATACAACAGGCTGCTGCCAAGGTAGGAGAAAACACTTTCAGAATTACTATCCTAAGCTAAAAGTAAAAGCTACACAGCAGAAATAAATTAAAATTGCCACCAGCAGATCTGCGTACTACTTCAAGTTAATGAATTCTATCTTAACATATATCAATACACTGAGATTTGGGGATAAGTTTTTTCTTTGTGTTTTTCTTTCCTTTCGTTGTTCTTTTTTTTAAAATGTTAAAACTAAGGATAACCACTGACGACTAAGATGGAGCAAGCTAGAAGCTAAATTTCCCAAGGCTTTTGCTACAATACAATCAAAACTACACATACTTATCCATGTGAAGAGATTTAAAAATAAGAATATTAATACATTACTAATAAATAATCAAAACAATAATTAGAAAGATAAACATCAACTATTATAAACATAAGAATAATTAAGACTACCATCAGGAGGAAAAAAAAAAAGGCAAAATAATACAGCATAGGTTCCTACCTGGTTGCTTGGATCTAGACCAGCATAAGAATTTCTTGAACTGCAACCAACTGGAGGTGTGGCCTCCCGAATGAATTCAGACATTTCAATCCCTCCACCAGGATCACTATGCAAGAAAAAAATTGGAAAGAGAGAATAACTATCATTATTCTGACACCAATTATTTTATTTTTGTTTAAGTTATACCTTTTTCTATAAAACTAAGAGATTCTGAGTTTTAAGAGGGGAAAAAAAATAAAGAATGATCACCCTTAATCTATAAAAATTCCCCAAACAGGAACTATTTAATAACCACATCACTATTTGAAAATATTTTAAATTCTTTTACCCAAGCTATCTATATCCAATCCAACATTAGAAACTGGCCTTAATTGCAATAATAGCATACTAAATATTTTATGATATGTGCCATAAAAATCACTCTAACAAAGAAATGATTGTCTGTTGTTTCCCAAGAACAAAGAGAAGTTAGTCAACTGTAAAAATGGAAAGTAATCAGATAATCACATTAGCTGATGTCTCCACGTGAGAAGTCTAAGCTGCATGACACAGTGATGAATGAACAAGACAGGAGTCATACTGGTTAAACTCTATCTGCATTTTTAAAGTACAGAAATTAACAAGGATCTGATTGTTTTAAGAACTGGAAATCTAAGATTTTAGATTTGCATATGTTGAGTTAGAAGGCACAAGTCAAATAAAACAAAATAAAATGATGCTGTGCAGTAACAAGTCTTAGAAAGTCCAAAGGGAAAAAAGTACTAGGATCAAAGAGCTGTGGAAAGTCATATAGAATACTTAGGGAAAATGGGAACTTCACAATTAGGGATGGAGAGAATCACACCAATTTCAAAAGTTTTAGAAATGTTAGTTTCCTCAGGACAAGAACTCTTAGAGCAACTCATGATCCTGTTTTTTACCCAAAGGTTTTTTTGCTCATTCTACTTTGCCATAAACAGAGTATCAATAATTTTTTTAGCTATTATTATCAGGATAAAATTTCTAGGATATAGGCTGGACATTACAGTGGATATAAACTACCTTGCCACCCAGGATCTAATTCAACCTCCTCATACACATAAAAAGAAACCCCAAATTCTCCTAGGGATTTGAATAATGTTGATCCTACCTCCTCATGTTTAGGGGCACACTCTACTGGATAAAATAAATCAGCATATCCCAGTCTTCTGATCACTGAGATTAGTTCTAGAATAAACATAAACCCCAACTCAGGCTAGTATGAATCAAGTCATGAATGTTCTATTGTTGACAGAGAAAATTTCTCAACACCTACAAGCCTTGATGCTGCGATATAAAGCCTGGAGCTGCTGCAGCCATCTTACAACCATGAGGTAGAATTTAACTAACAGCAAAGAGCAGAGCCTGGCTAAAAAAGAAGCAGTGTCATGACTGTTTGAAACTCTGCATCCTGACATATCTGAAGATATCCCTTACGTACAGACTTTTCAGTAACATGTACCATAAATTCCCTTAAGCCTGTTTGGTTGGAGTATTCTGTTGCAATCAAAAAATATAAGCTAAAAAGAATTTATTTGCAAGCATACCTTTCATTAAAGTATTTATCAATATAGCAGTATAAATTATAGTGGTTTTATTATTAAATATCTCATACCTATAATGTCCCTGTTTGCCTAAAGGGTTCCTAATTCTAGGCATTTGACCATAGTCAGCTAGTTGACATCCAATGGTGAAAACTAGTTTTCTAACTTGCTATTCATTGATAAAAATAAGACACATTATGGCTGAGGTTATAGCTCAGTGGTAGAGCGCTTACCTAGCACTTTGACACACTGGGTTCGATCCTCAGCACCACGTAAAAAAATAAACAAATAAAATGAAGGTATAAAAAAAATATATTGGAACCTGGTTACAAAAGTTAATGGCCAGGAGCTGGGGTTGTGGCTCAGTGGTAGAGCATTTGCCTAGCACGGGCGAGGTCCTGGGTTCGATCCTCAGCACCACATATAAATAAATAAAATAAAGGTATTGTGTCCAACTACATAATTTAAAAAAAAATTAATGGCCAATTCAGTGCAAAACTGCTCATGTATTGTAAGAAAAGTGGAATATGTTCAAGTTTTTAGCTGTGAGGTATTAACTCATACAGTTCTGAATTGAACAAAACTTAAAAGGTGTACATGAGGCAGATACTACCACACTGAGTTAGTTAGTGATGAGAAAGAACCAGCAATGTTACTCCTATTTCTGCAGGAATGCTTCCTCTAAATCAGGCCCAAAGAACACAGAAGACGGAAGTCACAGTAAAGACCGAAGGATAAAATACTCAGTACCACAGAAAGAATAGAAAGCCCTCATCTTGCCTTGTTTCGTTTTGTTGATGTATAACTCACATATAATTCACTAATTTAAATTGTACAATTCAAGGGTTTTTAGTATCTTCATTAAGTTATGAGATCATCACCATAGTTAACTTTAGAACATTCTATAATTTTATCACTTCTAAAACAAATTCCTTTAGTTATTATTCCTCTACTCTTTCCATCCTCCCTAGGCAACCACTAATCTAATTTCTGTCTCTATAGATTTGCCCATTCTGGATATCATCATATCAATGGAATTACATAGTATATAATTTTTCATGACTGGCTTAGGTTAGTAAGGAATTTAAACATATGTTTCAAGGTTCATTCACATTGCAGCATATATCAGCACTTTGTTTCTTTTTATGTCAAAGTCACATTTTACTGTATGAGTAGACCGTATTTTGTTTATCCAGTCACAGGGTGGACAGTCCTACCCACTTTCATACATCACTTCTGAGAGCAAATCCAAGTGATTACAATGCAAATGTGAAGTTATTATTAATAACAAACAAAATTAAGTATTTGCTAGTTGCTTAATATATCCCAGTGACAGGAGATCCTACTTTATTTGTGCTTTCTGATTAAAATGTCTTTCCTAAAATCCAAATATAAGTACTATTATCTTCATTTTACAAATGAAAAAACTGAACACTACAGATGTAAAATTTGCCTCTGGTCTCAGAGGAGTGAACAACATAAACTGGGTCACTGGCATATGAGGGTCAGGTGGCAAGGGAGGGTACAAATAATACTCAGCACTCTATAGTGTGTTAATATATCTGTATTCCTTCCTTCCTTTCCTTCCCTGCCTTCCTCCACACACCTGAATATAGTTACTTATAACCAATAGACACACTAAAATAAGGTTTCAACAGCAGATCTCTAAGCCCCTGCTCTTTCTAAGAAATCATGCTGCTCTTCAACATACTTATAAGTTCTCTCTCAAGGTCAAAACTAAAAAGTAACACCATTATCTAGAATAGATAGAATAGTGATTTGGGGGTGAGGGGGGCATACCGGGGATTGAACTCCAAGGCAATCACCCACTGAGCCACATGCCCAGCCCTATTTTGTATTTTATTTAGAGACAGGGTCTCACTGAGTTGCTTAGCGCCTCGCTTTTTGCTGAGTCTGGCTTTGAACTTGGCGATCCTCCTGTCTCAGCCTCCCAAGCCACTGGGATTACAGGCGTGCACCACCCCGTACCTGCCAGAATAGAGATCTTAACCTCAGCACTACTCAGGACACATACTCCTTGACTGTTGAGGACTGACTGTGCATTGTAGGATGGCTAGCAGCATCCCTGGCCTTTACCCTACAGATGCCAAAGGCATCCCCCAGTAGTGACAACTGAAAATGTCTCCAAACATTGCCAAAGATTTCCTGAAGGGTAAAATCACCCCCAGGTCAGGTACGATGATCTAGAACTAACACTGGTCAATGGTCAACTTTGAAAAACAGAGGGTAGGGAGCATTAAAACAACAAAAATGATTAAGGGAAAAAATGGACAGCTCTTTTATTTTTTAAAAAAATCCTCCAGCAAAATTTCTATACTCCTCTCTTCTCTACAAATGCAGAAGCAGAACTTTCAGTCACACTATAGAGATTCTAAGTATAGCTAAACACATAAAATGACTAAGAGTTTTCTTTTATTAGCAAGACTTGCAGGTTTTTAGAAATGGAGATTTCAGCACATACCTGGAAAGTATGGTAGTTTACAATTCTCACAGAAGCAAAGTGGTCTACTGCAGTAAGCAATACACCAAATTCAGGGAATCTCTACCTTTATGCCTTAATTTCCCCATCTGTTAAAAAAGAAAACACCAGGTACAGGGAAAGGCAGAAAAGTAGAAGGGGTCTAATCTGAATTACAGAAGAAATTTTCAAACTAATTTGTTTATTATTAGTATCATATTAATTGCTATGTTCAGACTTTGATCAGAAACTTCACAGTACCATTACAGTACTAAATTTACAAATCTAATCTAGATTATAATGATGCATATGAAGTATGAATAGATAAAACAAAGTCCCTAAACAGAATAAATCTCCCTCAGAAAACTCAGCCTAAAATTCAGCTTCGAATAATTTAAATGGATCTTTGGTTTACAAGGCATTGTTATATTACAAGCATTGCTGCCATGAAAAGAGAAAATGCTTGTTTCCTCAAATATTTGCATTCAAATTCTTAAATTCAATTGCTGGCTTTCTCTTCTGAAGCATTAAAAATGTAACAGAAACAGTCTCTGATTCTGTCAACAAGATAGAGACTTAAGCACTTTTGAACTGCAGTACTACATAAGAGAAGCCAATGAAAACTAAGGCTCACAAAAGTCCTACTGTATTCATTCATTCACAGAACAGACTGACTATGTACCAAGCACAGTAAGAGGCTCTAAATATGAAAATACACATTTTCCTGCACATTACTTTTCCTCAGAACAGAATCTGAGATTCGCAAGTGGTCAGATGAGGAAAAGAGGTCAAAAACAAAAATTATAGCCAAGATCTTCCTTTAATAGTGAAGCTTAAAAACATCCTATTTAAGAGTAGGGAAAAAATAAGGATATACACCAATACCATTTCTATTTTAATCAGAAGCTAGAAGCCATGGCCAACCAAAAAATCGAATGAGTATAAGGACTAGAAAGGGAAAATTAAAAGAGTCATCATTTGTAGAAAAATCAAGAAATAACCTATAATGTATCATAATTAATAAGAAAGTTATGAAGGTTGTTGGATACAAATTAAACCTTTACATTTAAGGGAGAAAAAACAGAAAATGCAATTTAAAGAAAATTAAAAAGAAGGAAGAAACTATAGAATAACAATCAATTTCTGTTTAATGAAACAAATTACAAAATTTTACTAAAGAGAATTTTTAAAGACAAATTGAGAGATTCAATATACTAAAGATAGAAATACTTGGCAAAGAAATCTCTATTTTCAAAGCAATTTGAATAAAAATACCAAGTTCTTACAGATATATCTTGATAAACTCTAAGGTTTATATCAAATAGCAAAGAGCCAAAAATAGCCAAGTCACTCCTGAAAAAGAACAAGGTAGAAGTTTGCCCCACCAGCCATCAAGAGCCATGCTATAAAGCTACAGTAATTAGAACAGTGTGGTTAAGGCAAGGCATAGACAACCAGGTTAACTAAATAGAAAAGAGAGCCGTAAAACACACCACCACATAAGGAAACTCAGTTCATGACAGCAAATACTGCAGGTTTCTAAGGAAAAGACAGCCCTCTTAACAAACAGGTAAATTAATCATTCATAAAGAAAAAGTAAGTCAATCCCTATGTGACACTAAAATAATTTCAGCTGTCTCTAAAATAATTTCAGAGAGAACTGAAATGTGAAAATAAAAGAAACATGAAACTTTAAAAAGTCAATACTGAAGAATATCTTTTTATACCTCTATATAGGAAATAATCTCCTAAAAAACAAAAATGCTCATTTTTAAAAATGATAAATTATATTTTATTAAATTTAAGAATATATGATAATCAAAAGAAAGCAAAATTAAAAGTCACAAACTGGGAGACGTCTATAATGTACATAACTAATAAAGAAGAAGCATAAACATTTTTAAAATTTCTACTTATCAATAAGAAAAAACTACAAAGAAAAATTAAACAAGACATAAATGGACACCGGAAAGAAGAGAAAACCTAAGTGGAACCTATATATAAAATAAGATGCTTGACCTCATTAATAATCAGAAAGGTTAACTAAAAGTTTCAGTGAGACATATTTTACACTCACATGAATGGCAAATGTTAAAAGTTTGCCAATATCAAATACTGATGAGACTGTGGAATAAGGAACTTTCACATATTACTAGAGTATAAATTGGTAAAAATCATTTCGGCAAACAGCTTGGAATTACCTACTAAAATTAAACAAGAAAATGCTCTACAAATTGCCTTATGTAAACTAGATATACACATGTATACTAGAAGTCATGTACAATAATGTGCTATCAGAGCAAAAATTGGAAATAATCTGAATAACTATCAGCACAAGAATGGACAAAGATTGTAATCTATTCCTATAGCAAGAGGCTACATGGCAGTGAATATGAATAAATCATCGGCATAAACCTTAACATGAGTGAATCAATAATACAAAACATACCATACCCAAAAAGTCTCTCACACAGAAACATACATAGTATGATTCTCTTTAGAAGATCCTAAAGCAGACAAAATAAATATTTCATATATTTAGGGATAGCTACAAAGATTGTATTACAGTAAAGGAAATCAAGGGAATTATTCACCCAAAAATCAAGATTGTGGTCCCTCTTAAAGAGAAGAATGGAATGAAATGGGAAAGAAATGCGTAGAGCTTCTATGGAGTTTGTATACTTCCCTGTTTCTTATGCTGTGCAGTGGGCAATTCATTTCATTTGACTGTTTTTCTCTAAATTATACATATATTTGATATATTCTTTGGAATACATATATTTCACAATAAATACTTCTAAACTAAAAGAAACAGAACAGTAACTCATTAACAGAAGCAATTAAAAACATATATACACATATACCCATATACATAAAATCCAGAAATAATTGGAACAATTATGCAGAGGAAAGCTTAAGTAACTTCTCTAATATTTTATAATTGAGAATGATTCAAGCTCAGCTGACATAAAAGTAATATGTGGCATACAAAAAAAAATTATGATAGAAACTGAGTAAAAGTACTTGGCACATAGGACAAACAGTTAAAATCCATCGTAAATATATATCTTCTCCAAACCAACAGTTAAAAAAAAAAAAAAGAACAGAAAAATAAACAAGCCCCCCAAAAATATAAATGACAAAAACACAAGAAAAAATGCCCCTATTTTGCTAGTAATCCAAAAGCAGAAATATTAAACACTGAGGGTTTTATCAGTGTTTTATAAAAATACTAACCCAGTATTTGTCAAAGGTTTAAAAGAGAAGGTGGTGGGGGAGGTCCTCAAACTGCAGATCATGATAGTTAAACAGCAAATCTTTGGAATTTGGCAATATGTATTAGAAAGCTTAGAAATGTATGTAGCCACCAGTTATGGTGGTGTACACCAGTAATCCCAGCAGCTCAGGAGGCTCTCAAGTTCAAAGCCAGACTCAACAAAAGTGAGGTGCTAAAAGCAACTCAGCAAAATAAAATACAAAATAGGTTTGGGGATGTGGCTCAGTGGTTAGTGCCCCTGAGTTCAATCCCGTACCAAAAAAAAAATATGTAGCCTTTCCAGTAACTATACCTCTGATAAATCATGGCAAAACATTTAATCATTTAAAATTTAAGGATCACAGTAATCTTTCTAACATTGAAATTTAAATTTGAAAATAACTAAAAATAGGATAGGTAAATTATTATACATCCACACAAGGGAATACTATGCATCAGTAAAAATAATACCATAGAAATTTTGTTTTCATTACTTCAAATATTAGCCAAGGAATAATCAGTGCCAGAAACTGATTTTAAGGCCTGGAAATATAATAGTTTTTAAGAAAAGGTCCCTGACTTCAAGAAGTTTATAAATGCAATTCAGATAAGTTGAGGAAGTGATTAAAACAATGAATAAAATCATTACAAAAGTAAAATACCTGCACAATGAACAAATGTGGCAATCATATAGGAATGAGGAAAAAATATAACTGAAAAGAGATAAAGTCTTTTAATGCACTAGAAAACATAAAGAAATATTACATGCTTTAATAGGAGCATCCACCTTTCATTATATTATTTATACCTAAATATCTGAAATAGCTCATTATTATATGCCAAGTGGACACACAGCATAGTGGATAAAAGAATAGACTCCAGAACTTGAGTGCTTGAATTATTTGATCTTTCTCACTTTGGTTTCTACATCTATAAGTTAGGAATAAAACAGCATCTACCTCACAGAATGATTTAGAGGACTGAATGAGCTTAATATATGTCAGATGTTCACATAGGAACTGCTTGTTTTTAAGCTTTATATTAGCAATATTTATTATTTCTACAAGAACACAAGAAACTTTTGACCATAAACAAAGTAGGTTTCTCTTCAAAAAGAAAAAGCTAGTAGAGCCAAGGAAATATGTTACAATGTGGCTGTGAGCAATCCTTTAGCTGGGATAGGAAGGGAAAGTTTCCAAGGCAACATCTATCTAAACTTGAACCCTCAAAAGTCAGTCTTCTGAAGATTGAGGAAAGAACAACTAAATTTCAAAGGTTAAAATATAAAATTAAAGCTGGGCCTATAGCTCAGTGGTAGAGCACTTCCCTGGCATTTGCAAGGCCCTGTGTTTAATCCCCAACACTGCAAAAAAGAAGAACAAGAAGAATATAAAATTGAAATTGGAGTCACATAATGTGACTCCAATTGAAATTTTTATTTACAATAAAGTGAAACGTGCAGATAATGTCAAGTAAAACATCACAATGTATTTAAGATATACATACATTTCATTTATACATGTAAGTTTTTTAAATGATGAGATTTATAAGTTATGCTTTGAAATTATTTCTTCAAGCTGTGTTACCTTGGTTTTGGGTGTTGGTATGAGTAACTATTATGTGGTAACCTATTTTTTCTAACCTCTTCAGAAATGAGGCCAATGATATTGATTTAATCCCCCAAACATGCCAGTTAGTTTTGCTCTATTCTAATATTACAATGTGCCCTGGACATTATACCTTTAGTGGTAAGATCTAATACTGCCTTCAAACCATATAAAGACACAGTAATTACATCATTACACACACACCACAATTTATGTCGTTACACACTGAGCAACATGGGTTTTCTTACCTAGGTCCATTGCTATCTTTTCTCCTGGTTGAACAGTTGCCTTGTTCAGCTTTGGCTCGCTGATCTGTGAGCTCATTTGCACTCCTATCTACAATTTCTCCAGCATCCAGTGCTCTGTGTAGTCGATAGTTGACCATCTTCAGAACAATGAAAACAGCAGCTACCACAGGACAATAAACTGCTACTATAATCATGGAAGAAGGAAGGGCCTTTAAGAGAAAGGAAATGAAGATAAGCATTTTAGAATGTTTTACATTTTACTCAAAGAAATCTATATCTAAAATAATAAACACATATTTATGTACAAAACAATTAAGTTACTAGCTCTTAATTGCAAAGGTGGAAGTCCACAGTGCCTAATACAGAAGCCCTACATGTGGTTAGTGAGCACCTGAAATGTGGTTTAGTTTGAATTGACGTCCCATAAGAAAAAAAAAAAAAACAAACCAATGGATTTTAAAGACAGTATGAAAAAGAAATGTAAAATATCTCAATTCTTACACTGATCACATGTTGAAATAACAGCATACTGGGTTAAGCAAAACATTATTGAAATTAATTTTCAACTGTTTCTTGTCACTATTACTACTACACAACTTTCAATTACCTATGTGGTTCACATTACATTTCTGGCAAAATGCTTTAAATACAACTGGAGAGCTAAGGTATCCCATTATATGTGAGTAAGTCAGGGTTGTGATCCAAATACAATCTCTGTTTACATGCTCTGTTTTTTTATTCTTTTGTAGGATACAGTCTCTTTATGTTCCAGAAAACTGGAACGTAAACTGTCATGACAATGACCTTGGAACTCTGACTGTAAAATCAGGTAAGACATGGGAGATACACAATATCAAATTTATTCTAAAGTATTTAAATGCTTAAAATATTTTAAAAATGCCTGCCTGCCAAATTAAAAAATAAATAATTCAAAAAATAATCAAGCAGTAAATCAACTGAAATAAATCAGTCACGTATACTAGGTGTAGGGAGTGTAGACCTTCATATTTGAAGATTATGTGGAACCTGAATACCAGGATGGCAGGCTCAGAAACCACCCCACTCCACAGTCCTCAGAGTTGCTGCTGGCAGAAAGTATAAAACTAGGTTCAACATATCCCCACTTTCATGAGGAAAAAAATCATTCTGGATGTCTGTAGCTCCAGAACCCATATTTTTGTAAGAGTCAACCTGAGCCATCTGATAATGTGACTCCAAAATGGCTTGGAAAGGGAAAGCTCAAACTGCTCAAGATGATGAAATTGAAAAGTTGTTGATGAACCAGACAAATTTATAATACAGATAGGAAAAAGAAATTTTTCTAATAATTTAAGAAGAAAAGAGTGTCAAGTTGTAATTAGGATGAAAAAGAGATTAAATATCAGATTTAGAAAAATTAAGTACTTAGAAAATTTTGTCAGATGATTTAAGTACTTAAAAATAAATGCTCAGCCAGGTGTGGTGACACACACCTGTAATCCCAGCGACTAGGGAGGCTGAGGCAGGAGAATGGCAAAGTCAAAGCCAGCCTCAGCAAAAGCGAGGAGCTAAAAAGCAATTCAGTAAGCCCCTGTCTCTAAATAAAATACAAAATATGGCAGGGAATGTGGCTCAGTGGTTGAGTGCCCCTGAGTTCCATCCCCGGTACCCAATAAATAAATAAATGCTCAATTTATAGTTTCAATTTAAGTTAAAGGGATCTTAAGCTAGAAAAAAATAAATTTCTTAAAATGCTCATTCAAATGTGTTATAATTGAGTTTAAAATTCTTTAATTGTTTAATTTAAAACTTTAATAAATCAGTATAAAAATCAAAAGTGCCCTGAATAATCTTTTCTGGGCAAAATGGCCATCCTCAAACACACACACACACACACACACACTATGTGATACACACAAAAATATACACCACTTGTAGAATTCACAAAACTTCTCTTGTGATGTTGGTTTCCATCTAAAATGTTCTCATAAAACTAGAATTCTTGAAGATCCAGGAAACTGAGATCTACTGTTTGAATGACTTAGCCAAGATTACCCATCTTGATAATAAGGGAGGTTATATCCCTATTTCACTACCTGTTATATACCACATTGCTGATACCATTTTCAAGTGTAAAGTGCCAATGAAAAACAAGAGTTTCATCCTTATTTACCATCATTCATATTAAGGTAAAAACAACTGATTATATTATTAAGCAGATAGAAAGGAAATAAGCCCAACATTATTAATCAATGTTAGACAAACTCAATTAAAACATTAACAGTCCCTCCCAATGAGAAAAGATAAAACTGAGTATTTAACATTAAATAGTTAGTCTATAGTATATGCCTCTACACACACACACACACAAAAAAAAAGGCAAAGATTATGAACATTTAAAACAGATTTAAATAAACTCACTTCCTACTGTGAGACTGCTAAGAATATTGGATAACTGAGTGCAACAAACACTGAAATATAAGAATTTATCAATGAAGTAGAGTTCCTTTCTTAAAAACACTGCATAATGAAAAGACTATAAACAAAGTGATACTTTTTTCCCCAAATGTAATTTAAGTGACCATTACATACCAGGAACCAGTATCAAATGAATAACACATATTTTCTACTCAAATTACAAAAACTGCCCATTTAATTTACACTATGTAGTTTGAACGTAAAAGCCCTGCCAGTGGTAAATTCCAACATTTCTAGGTGTCAGAGGACAGTTGTACTCAAATAGCTTCACTCTTCCCTAAGTGTATAGACTCACAGGCTGCTTAAACCTCCTGTCTACTCCACCTGCATTACCACCTTAAGCTCTCAGCTGACTCTGAGACAGCTGACAACATTAGCATCACATCTTAAAAGATTATCAACCTTCCCTGTAATTACAATTCACTAATATTACAGGAAAATTGTAAGCAGTGTCTGCCTTTGCAGGATGTTTCATTGGTCCTCTAAAATCAAACACCAAAACCTAGAAACTAGCTAATTCACCTGTTCCTCAGTTTTATGGATTATATATACATTGACTTAATTTCTGTTCTATAACAAACGATACTTTAGAAAGTGTTACTAACATTTCCAAAAGAACACTTTTCATCTTCTTAGGTTATATGATTGTAAATGTTATCTTCAAATTAATGCTGATATAACTAAGCACATTAACAGTCCCTAGGTAATAAAAGCTAATATGTTTTATCATGAGATACAAGTCTATCTACAGGTATAAACCTGTACTGCTTGTACAGAGAGATTGGTTGTACTCCTTTCCTAGGATACTACCAGCAGTGGACAGTAGAGATGGAAAGCTGCAGAGTAGCTGGTATAATACTGATGGACAAACAAGGCATTCATTAAATAACTATAAAGGTCACAACCCTAGAAGCACAAGATAAAGATGCAGAATCATCCTGGGCTTCAGACAGTTTTCCTATATATCTTAATATGTAAACATATTATATATCTTAAGCATCAGAACATTACAGAACTTAAAAGGTAATAAAATTAAAGCAGACAAGCTAGATGTTTTCAAATTCTATTATGCCATAATTAGTTAGCTTCTTATTTTGAGACTCACTTATTGTGTAGCAATACTCAGCTATTCAAACCACTTCAGTCGGAAATCAGTGATCAATAACTTAAAAGAATAGCAGGCATATTATTTACAATTGAGACCAAGGCTGGGAAATTAAAGCAAAAATTTTTTTAAACAAATATCTTAAAATGTCATCATTAATGCAAGTCATCTTTTAAGCTTATTTGGGGGGTTTCCACTATTACAACTTCCTCATTATTTAAGGCATTGTTTATAAAACATTTTGGCATTACATACTAAGCAAGCAAGAAAATGTGAACTGGGGCTGGGGATGTGGCTCAAGTGGTAGCACTCTCGCCTAGCATGCATAAGCACTGGGTTCGATTCTCAGCACCACATAAAAACAAAATAAAGATTTTGTGTCCACCTAAAACTAAAAAATAAATATTAAAAAAAAGAAAATATGAACTATGTATTTTAGGTAAAAAGTTATCATATTTAAATTTTTTAAACTGGAAGATGAATTAAAGACTTTAATTTCAACAGCAAAACTAATAAAACTTTAAAAGAACGTCTTTATGACCTTTTCAGTAGATTTATTAAAAATGACTCTCAAAGAATATACTAGAAAAGGACTATGAATTAAAATTAAGAACTTCTGTTCATTGAGAGACACTGTGAGAAGACAAGCCTCAACTAGAAGACACATTAAAACAAGTATTATTATGTGTATGTGTGTATATTTATATACACACAATATATATACATACACAATATATATACACATATGCATGTCCATGTATGTGTATACATATAAAGAACTCTTACAAAAACAATAACAATGAAACTATTTATTAAGAACAAAAGACTTTACCTAGAAAAGGAACTATAAATGACCAATTAATACAACACATGAAGCCTGGCAATGTGGCTCAGTCACAGAGCGTCTACCTAGCATGCTCAAGGTACTAGACTGAATACCTAGTTCTACAAAGAAAAACAAAAGAACCCCCTCCCCCCCGCCACAGCACACACACACACAGCCAGATAGAATGGCTTATGCCCAGTTATTCGGGACACTGAGGTAGGATTGCAAGTTTGAGGCCAGCGAGATACTTTCTCAAAGTAAATAAATAAAAGGGCTGGGGATGAAATTTAGTGGTAGGGCATGCCTGGGTTCAAACCCCAGGACTGGAAGTAGGCAGGTAGGGGAACTAGGACCACAAACATAATAAAGGTGTTCAACTTCACCTAATCAGACAGCCCACATCAATATACCACACAATGCTCATTTCTATGAGCAAATATTAGGAAATCTGATAAAATTAAGTATAGAGAACCAGAACTGTTAAAATATAAATTGATAGATACAAAGTCCAAGGCACAACAATTCCTCCTGCAAGTATAAAATTCAGATATAAATGCAATACTAGGAAACTTACAAAATATGAAAGGAAACCTCAATTGAAAAATCAGAAAAATGGAAAGTGGAGACTGTTTTCCAACGGAACTTAATACATCAGTGAAAAACTACAGCTAACTGCAGCAACACAGATACACTGAATAAATACAACATATCCCAAAGATAAATTATGTTTCACTGTATTTTCTTGAGTTTTTAGATAATAGGTATTTCTTTACAATTAGGAAAAAAACTAAAATTTTAATAGTAATACAAAGGTTTTCATG